ATGTGCTCCAGGACAGATCCCTGAGCATCCACTGTCCACTAGATGCCACTATTACTGCTCCGAAATAACCAAGGGGACCGAGGCCGCGCAGATGAGCCAAGCAAAGTGAAACAGCCTCAGAAGTTGCGTGGGGAGCGATGGCCTCCTGGGAGCCGGGGCTCTGCGGGCGCGCGGCAGCTCCCGGCCGGGCGAGCAGATGTGTCCGCGAGCAGCGAGATGCACAAGCGTTTGCTGCCTGAAAGCTTTCGAGCAAGAATTGCAAAATATTGCATGCAAAATAACGGTGGAGGACCCGCTGTTGCTTTCTCTATGTAGGGTGCCATGCTCCCAAAGGGAATTTAAAAGCAGAGGTATGCATTATGAACATAGCTTTTTTAATAAATTCCATTTGAAAAAATATTTTTTTTTTTTTTTTTTTTTGCTGAAAAGCGTGTAGTTACAGATGTTGAATTTCAGATCTGTGGGCTATGCCTTCCGATATAAGGGAATCCCAGCACACATTGTGCTCGAAACTGCAATAGGTGCCTTTGAACAAGAGGATTTTGTGAACGAAGACATGAGCAGAGAGAAATAGCAGGGAGGGAAAAGTAATAGATGATAACAATCTCCTGCTTATTTCCTAAAACATTGAACATCTCTGACCTTAAAGTCCATCATTGCAAGGTTTTCAGGATGCAGATGTGAGGCTTACCACTGCAAAATGATTTAATCTTTGCAGGAGGCAACTTAGGTCCTCGCCTTGGTCATAAGGCATGGAGTCTTGGCCTCTCTATTAGTCCTGGGCAACACTTGGGCCTTACAGTGCCTTAAAACTGTAAGCTGGGGCAAAGAGAACAAAGTCAAGTCTATATTCAGTGAGAATAAGCAGTCTTTTTTGCAGAAGGTTAATTTGCAGAGAAACGATGCATTTTTGAAACTGTGCCGGGGCATTAGAATAAGTACTCTGATTAACTGCAGGAGCCGTGAGATGGTCAAACAGGCCCAATTCGACCTGTTGCTGGATCTGTGGATTTTCTTGTTTGTGTTGTGGCACAGGAGCAAGCCACAGTACTGTCAGTATGGGACAAACCTTTGCATTTTATGCAAAGCTCTGCATTTTTTAACACTTGTCAGAGAATTAGGGTAAGAAAGCCAAAGTGTTGGTCAGCCTATGCATGTGAATACTGCCACGGTCTGGCATGTGACTCCCGTGTAGACAGCTACGAGAAGGCTGAAAAGCTGAAGAAATGGGCACTTGAAAGCCTCTGCTTGGGCTCCCTCACAAAGATCACTTGTCAGCACCACGTGCAACTTCTTGTGCATGTAGATCTAAATAATTAGTTATGCAAAGCACAATCTTTTCATTCCCATCTATGAGGCTTTGATCGGTTTGCAGACAAGCTGCAGTGCTTCTGCTAGTGCTCATGGCTTTGACCAGTAACAAAACACACCCAGCAAGACCTTGATCTTCTTTTGCTGGTATGGCTCAAACCTGGCACATCTAACTTAGTTTTAATTCACAGAAGATAAGCCAAACTTTTCTTCCCTAGCCGAGAAAGCTTTATTGTACGCTGTTGTTTGTTTGTTTGTTTGTTTAGGAGATCCTATTTGAAATGAATTGAATGAATCAGCTCTCCACAAATAGTCTTGCCTTCAAGGTATATGTTTCCAGAGGTTTTTTAGTACCTTTAGTAGAGCATGTGATGTCTGTTTAGCTTATTGTGACTGAAACATGTTGACACAATAAGCTTTTCAGAAAACTGTGTTTTAGACTATTTTTCTGGCTCTCCTTTTGCGTAATTCAATACCTAGGCATTAGTTGTGAATGCAAGATAATGTGTCCTTCCTCACACTTCTCAGTAGATAATTATGTCATAAATATCCACTCATTCATCACAAACAGGCTAATAATAACAAATTAAAATGGGAGTTTTCCACTTTCTTCTGACTCTGCCTCAAAAATAATCCTTCCAGAACTTCTCTTTTGGTTTGCTCACTGGTTAATGTAGCAGCTGTATTTTTGCAATAGAAATTGATAAATACACAGTGTAAATAGGCACACCTTGCCCCAGGGTGCCGTGGCTAATAAAAGAGGTTCATCTGCCATTATTAGAGATCTTGCTGGACACCTGGATTAGCCTGAGTGTGTTTTTTTTATTTTTAATCTTAGCATCTAACTTGCTAATACATATTTGTCAAAATTCAAGCTTAAACAGTGGCTCTTAAGAATTTGAATCCCTTCTCAAGCATTAAATACATTAGCAAAATAGTTAAATACGTAAAAGATCGTCTTACTCTCTCTTTGGGTATATTATTTTTCTGGTTTAGTCTCTTTGGAAACAAGCGTAAAAGTCATCTAAAAGTCAACATTACCATGCTGTAAACACAGATGTTTCCAGGTCTAAGTGTAATTTATAAGATACTGTTATGGAAATCTCCGATACTACTTTGTGGTGGTGATTAACAAGTGATACCCCTTAATAGCAACCATATGTGTGTATTGATCAGTTGTCTCGACCTTCCCTCGTTCTGGAGGTGTGTGAAGAGCAGCTGCCTTTGGATGGCACGTCCCTCCTCAGAACATGATTTTTTTTTTATTTTTTTCATCTTTCGTTGCTCTTATTCCATCATCCTTCATGTGTTGATCTTCCTCTGCCATATAACGTTTTCTGTGCAGTATAACTCCATAAGTTTTCATTTTTGTGTCCTGATGGGCAATGATGTGCCCTGCTCTGCTCGCAGGAGGTGCCACAGGTCAGGTGGGTGCTCTGCAGGGTGCTCTACCACTGGCGCCCACGTCGCACTGGCCAGGGCTGGGTGCAGCGGCTCTGCAACGGGGCACCTCTCAGAGACACCCTGAAAAGGCACAGAGCTTTTACATGAGCATCCTAGGCCAAGCACACAGATTTTAAACACTTTCTTTCTGAGAATTTTGTGGCAAAATGGCTCCTCCTCCCCCCCTCCCCCCCCTTTTTTTTTAAATTTTAAAAAGGTTTAATTAAAAGGTAACCTGAAAATTAAATGTTTGCATCAACCTGAAATTATTTTTTTTAGGTTTTTAATCTTGCATAGAAACCCAGAAAAAAAAACCCACAAAATCCCAAACAGAAAAAAAAGAATTCCTAATTTTTTTAGAATATGTATCAATGAACAGAACTAAGAAATCTACTATTTGAACAGCTCCCCTATAAAGACCCTCTGTAGTCCTGAGATGTTCTTAAAAGATATTTGAAGCATTGTGAAAAAGTTTAAATCAGTATGAATCTTTTCTAAACTCTAAAATACAATAAGAATTATCTTCAAGATACATTATTTAAGAAAATCATGGAATATTAATTATCTGTATAAAAATAGAATCTGTCCTAATTCTATGTAAGGGTTAAGATCGTCAAGTCCAGCAGCAAACCCATCACTGTGGTAAGGGTTGTATTTCAAAATAGAGCCAGTTAGTTCAAGTCTAGGTTCATTCTGAACAGCTCTATTATGAAGCACTGAAATGTCCTTCTGTTCCTTTCTAAAACCAGGACCTTATTTATTCCTGTTCTCCATCCATTGACAGGGGACTGGTATTTAAATGCTTTGCTTATTTCCAACTGCAACAAGTTTTTAAATAGAGATGAATATTCTACCCAGAATGTTTTAATCTGCTGGAAAACTGCTTTATACATTATAAGGCAAAACCACAAAACCAGATCTCTTCATATGATTTCTAAATTAAAAATAGTTTCTGCTCCATTCCACATTTAGACATAAGGTAAATTTTTAATTTGTATTAACTTCATTTGATAGTTACCCAAGTGGCAGAAGCATTGGAAAGGCACAGGAAACAAAAGTTGGCTAATTTCAATGGAGCATTTGTATTAACAGTAGAAGCCTAATAACGCCTTTTTTTTTTTCTTTTTTTTTTTCCTCTGCATTCTACATTGGTTTATTTTCTTTTATGCCATTATTTGCGTTTGGTGAACAGCTGGGCCAGCAGTTTCCATTTGCAGTCTTTTATCTCTGTGAAGTAGCACAGAAAGTAATGGGCATTTGCAAATTCATACTTATTTTTTTCTCTCTTTTTTTTTCTGGTAATCTGATGTAGCTCTCCTTTTTGAGCACAGAGGTAATATCAGAGCAGAAGTAATTTCTATGTTAAAACCAGTACTGTAGTAGAATATTTTGATAATTAAACTTGTTGCATTTAAATTGCTTCCTTTGGATTACTATATAGAGCAGAACTGTTTGGAACAAAAAAAATGAAGCCACTTTCTTTCCCAGAGGCCCAGAATTGCAGATGGTCAGATTGAACGTGAAGCACCTAGGCTCTGAATTAGCCCTTTGTATGAAAGAGAGAAAGGTAATTTGAATGTTTGAACTCCCTGTTCCACCCACACACGCACAGGAAGCTCGCCTCAAAATGAACAATTCTCTAAATAAAGACTAATAAGCTAAATTAATTAGAAGGTGTGATTTGAAAAGACGTTGATGAGAAGAGTCTGTCATTTTAGACAAATGGAAGGGAGCTAAATAAATTAGGCCACATTAATATCGCATTGTTCAGCAAGCAGCTCTCCTTTATTGCCTTCATTAGAAAGTGCTGCTCGAAACGAGCCCTTGCTCACCATTACCCGCACTTACCAATGCCTGGCACGCAGTGCCTGCATTAAGAATATTTCAGCAAATCCTCATAGTTTCTGCAAATTAATATTTATATTTCTGGATGCTGGGCTTCTCATCTGCAACATAGTCAGCTCTGAACATTAATTTCTTTTCTTGCAGAATTGTCTTACAAAGCAAAGCAAAGATGTCTTACATCAAAAGGCTCCAAAGCCAGAAGTCTGAAATTACTTTATAAAATAAACTTTGCTCATAACTTATACAATAGAGTCTTCTCCCAACTAATATTCCTCCAGTATTTATTTTGATAGAAAATACCTGCCTCCTGACTTCAGTAGGCCTTTGATAACTTTTTAGAGTGTGTTTTAAAAGGTTCCCACAGTAAATAATTAGGATACATTTTAAATGCGCATCTCATCATGCATTTCTTCCTTTCAGAAAATGAAATGTGTATTTTTCCTTCTCTCTTTTCTGTAGATGGAATATTTGGGAGATGTCAGCGCGTGCCAGTAAGAGACATATATAAATATGACATTTCACCCCTTGTTCTTCAGCGCTTAAGGATCATCCTAGAGAAGCTCTCGCACAGAGGTACAGTAAAAACGGTGTTAGAAACTGGTTAGTGGTGTGAGGGTGGGTGGTATTGGGCAGTAGATTTATTTTGTGCTCCTTCTGAGGTAATATTTCCTGAATTTTCTGGAAATGCCATCCTTATGCAAGTAGGATACCTTCTGACTGGCTGAACATAAGGGTTTGGTGAAGCAAGTTCAGAGAAGTGTTTCCCTCTTACACGGTCAATCTCTGTGACTGATGCTCTTTACACAGCTACATTTTAGCATACGTGAAAGTTCATGTCATACAAATAAATGAGCAGTAAATAAAAAATAATTTACCATGTTACTTATTTTTGCATCAGAGTGTGTTTTAGGGTGTGTGTGCATAAAACACACAACTTGCACTTAGCTAGGAACAGTTCTTAACTTTCTAGTGAATTCAGGTAAGTAGAAGAAATAGTGTTATTTCATTTGAAGCTACATCTGGTATATCCTTACAGTTTTTATTCAAATTTCTGAAATTAATCTCTGTACTCTCTCCAAGCCTAAAAGGATGTTCTCAGTGGTATAACTTAAGAAATCAAAATAAGGCTAAAGTGAAAGATGGCAAGGTGAAAAAGCTTTTTAGGTACATGAAACCTATTTCAGCTGCAGACAGCTGTAAGAACATCAAACCCTAAATTCAAATTGTTCCAAAAAAAATGTTGGAGTGGCTTATTTTTCAATTGCATCATTCGCTTGGATGTTTGCTCCTAAATATCTTCCAGTTTCAAACCCATTTTCAAACTAGTAGTTTCATATTATTGCAAATACTAGGACAACTTTGACAATAAATTAATTTTCTGGACTGTGACTGTCCTTGGAATTGGACTTGCTTGGAAACAAATGGCCCAGATGAATCAAATATATTTTGAGGATTTATTTTGCATCCCGCATTCCATCCTAATGAAGCAAACTCCAGACAAAATTCAACTTTAGTATCTCCTGGTTTAATATTGGTACTTGAGACTCTTTGTCACTTGTCATTTTCTAAAGCCTGGGTTTTGCAAGCAAATTTATGAAAATATTATTTTCCTCAGGATAACACAGTATGAGTAGAAAAGTTAACATTCTTTCTCAGTTTGAATATGGTGAAGCCAAGTATCTAGGTATATGTGGAGAGGGCAGAATAATTCATCTCACTGAGACACCAAAATTAAGATCTGTAGGTGCAGATGTTTGTTTGTGAGGTAGGTGCAGCAATAATAGCAACTGAGATCCAGTCAGTACAGGTGATGAAGCCCAGAGGGTGGCTCAGATCGCCCTCACATGGGCACCCAGGGGTCATTTCCTAAACAGAGTCGACTTGTTTTCCATAAGGCTCCCTCCACAGGGATGTCCAATATGACAGAAGACCTGCAGAAGACCCACTACATTCTGGAGGAGCATCTGGAGGCTGGGGGAATACTCTATGTATCTCACACGATACATATCTGCCTGCCTTCCATATGATTTTGTTCAGTACAACTGAGTTAATGTAACCCCTCTAATATGTACTTCTCTTTGATCAACTAACCAACCCTTTCCTACGACCTCTACCTCCATAGAGTGGTCTTTTGCAGTAAACTCATAAGGTTGCATAAACTTCCCCTTAAGGGAGTTTATGCATTGCAATTTGGATTTATATCTTATTTCGTCCATAGAACGAGAATGACAAGGAACACTGAGATTGAAATTGTGACTGAGAATGAATTTTTTTTGCCTTTATCTGTCTTTCCTCATGAGCTTTGGAGGTGCATACACAAATGTGCATATGCTTTGAACTGCTATAGAACTTTTGAAGGCAGTTTTCTTGGCCTGTGGGTATCACAGTGATAAGAATCTTTAAAATACCTGTAAAAGATAATAGAATGCCCTTGTTCAAAAGATTGACAAGATACTTTTTTTTTTTTTTTACTCTCTATATGCATGGCAAATTCGGAAGCATTTAGTGAGGACAGGAATATGGAAGCAGTAGAATCAACCCTCGCTCTCAGATTAATGGATTATAGACAGCAGGATGTGTAGAGAACTCTGCTGTGTGCTAGTGCTATCAGATGTGACAAAACTAGCCCATAGAGCTTATATGCTGCTTGTGATGGTCACTTGCATAGCTAATGCTGCTCTCCTGAAGACTGTGTGCAAAACATCATGACCATTCCTGCAGTTTAGATAAACAAGGCATTGTCAGGCCCCCATAAACAGTTCGGCTAACCACAAGAAAGGGCTTTACTTGTTTTTTCAGAGGTCTTATTTCCTTCATCTATGTAATCCTCAGTCTTCTTGTCCTTTCAGAAAGGCTAGCTCCACTTGATGGTGCACATCCTCCCTGAAAACGATAGGGTTGGTATCTTGTCTCTCTGTTTTTTAAAGACCACAGCAAATTCTTCTAAGACTACATAGTGGATCAGTTAGGCTTAATCCCAAGATAAAAAAAACTTTTAATGTCTCTATCAGTTTATAATTATATATATATATATGTATGTTTTATATATATATATTTATACATAAAGATTTTTTTTCTATCTTTATTAGACATATATGTAGTTAAGGACTAGATATTTTGTAGGTTATTAACTTCGGCTTTCTGGAATTTATTTTTACTTCTCTGATATGTCCTTTTATTTTTTTTTTCTTCCCTTCCTGGTGCCTTCTTGCACAATTACTAATCCTCTTATTTTATTCTATTTGTATAGAATAATAAAAAATATCCCATAAAAAATCTCAGAATTTACATGTTCTTTTTTTCCTTATTTGTTGATGACTTCTAAGTAATGCATGTATCCAAATCAAGCCCCAGATGGAAGATTGTATGTTCAGGTGCTTTACAGCACAAAGGACAATATGATATGAATAGCAAATAACATTTGTGATTCTGCCAGCTCAAAATGTTTGCTACAATAGCGAGGCATATGACAGAAGCTTAGATGAGTGACACACTTGATCATAATCTCTTTAATAAAGAACTTTGAGTAAAATTGAATTCAGGTTTCATAATGATACAGTTTTTATGTCTTCTTTACACATTCTTTTTTTGCACTATCTACCAGTGAATTGATGATAAAAATGAATGCCTAAGAATATTGGATAGTTCCCTACAAAGAAATAATCTGTTAGCATTCAAATATCCTTGTTTATAGTCATACTGTCCTTGATTCAGTCAAATCTTTCAAAATACCCTTCATGAAGATTTTCTGAAGATACCATTTTATTCATGTGAATATCTATATGGGAAAAGTCCTTCTCAGCAGAGCTGAAACATAAGCAATCATGATGAATCACTTTCTGCAATTGGTTCCTTTATAATTTCTAATTTAGGAGGAGATAAAATATTTCTCATTCTCTGATAAACAAAGCAACCCAAAGATGATGTTTAGATGGGACTAAAATGTTGGGAAAGGGAAATGAAAGAAATATCACCATAGGAGGATAATTGAGTAGTGCCAGAAGGAACTGGAAGTACTTATCCATACAGTGAGTCTTCAGCATCCTCCTTGTCCAACCTAGAGAGATTCTGCAGAGAATATATCAGATATGATGAATCACCCATATGCTCTCCTTGCTTGAGTTAAAACATTCAAAATGCCTATGTACAGAAATAGTATTAAATATGTTTGGGCATTAAAAGACAAAATGTTTTTGTGTTGCTCTTGTCCCAGCAATATGAAAAGGCAAAGGGAGCACAGCAATAAGATTCTTGGGAAGATTATGGAAAAATATAGTTTCTCAATGACAACTGACCAATAAGTATAGACAGTGAGCTAGGAGGACTAACGAGGACTCTTCATACATTATAGTTCAAGTGTCAGGGCAAAAATAGTACTTGAAATCTCAACATAAGCCATAACAGAAGAGGACAGTAATATTTCTATTTATTTATTTATTTATTTTTGTGAGAGGGAATTACATTTGTGTCCTAGAAGATTTCATGTGCTCAGCTTTTCGTGCTTAGTTGCACAGTGTTTCCCTGAGCTAGAAGTCACATTTTTTTGTTGTATGAACATGCTAGGACGGTCCTGCAGGACACTATCTACATAAGCAAAGCATGTGAAACTAAAAATAAATAACATAGTTTCTGTCTTCTGTTTTATTTAAATTTTAATTAAATTGCAGCGCTAGTGCTATAGTCTCTTTAATGCAGGAATCATGCAGTATGACCATTTGAAAAACAAATTAGATGATTAATGTTTTGGTTTTGTAACCTGGAGCCATTAATAAATGTTTCTTGAGTGTACTTGTCACTACTTACCTTTTGCTATAGCACCTTCTTGTTCAGAACTCGGCTTTCAAAAGAAGCAAGTCCTTCTACAAAATATTTGGTATCAAGACCTGTTTAAGATATCCAAATAGCAAAAGTCTTATTAGGAAAACCAAAAAGGATGCATTTTTAAATTAATTTAGCTCAAGTCAGCAATATATTCTTGAGAAACTGATAGGCTGCTAAAACAGACGGAAACATTGCAACCCAGGGTGTTCTTGGCAGGGGAAAAGCAAACAGTGCTAAAGACTTTTTAACCAGTTGAGCATAAGGTAGCAGTATTAATGTTGCTATAGTAGAAATAGTTGTATATTTTTACAGCAATTTCATATTAAAAAAATATAAAAATCTGTTTTCCAATGAGTTAACTCGAAAACTGGAACAGAGGTAGCTTGTCGGATGCAGCTTGTCAATTAAGAGTTGCAAAATACTTCAATCGAGACTGATTTTTCAGGGAAAATTATCAAGAAGCATCACTTAGTACTCTGGTGAAGGTAACGAACTTGATAGGGAACTTTTTTAAGTTGTCCAATAAACTTGAAATGAATGCAACAACTCTTGCACATACATGCAAGATTACTAGCACATTTTTGCAGTGGTATATTGAAAATTGAAATCAACGGAGGTAGGAAATGTGGAGGTTTTTTTTTAAAATTCAAATATTGACATAAAGAAATGCAAACACTTTTACTTGAACAGAACAGCACATTTATATCAGAAAT